CAATGAGTTTTTACTCGAAAGCTGCTTTAGAGCGCAAGTATTCCATTTGAAAAGTGTAAAATTTGTAGAAGAAAGAAGAGAATGTGAGAGAAAGCCACGAAGCTTCTATAAGCTTTTGAATTCGGTGGAAAGTTTAAAAGTTTTAAAGCATGAAATGAGGAAATGGTTGTTGCTTCTGGTTTAATGCTCCACTTATCTGAAGCTTTTGCTTTTAAAGCTCATATTTTGTTCCCAAATTAAGTAACGGTATATTAGAAAGGTAATATAGCTTATAGTTTTCTCTTTCATATTATTAATAAGTCTGATAATCTTTAAGCTCTCGAAACCAAATTAAAGAAATAATAAAAATTAATGTTTTAAATATGTTAAGTGCTTTTATTTTCCACCACAATACTTGCTAAGTAATATATATAAAACAACAACTAAATCTTTAAGGGCAAGGATGGATTTCCTTACATATTCGAGTACTACTGCGGTAGGTATTATGGCATAACCTGTAAATACTCTTATTAATCAAAAACTGTTTCAGCTTTCTGAACAAAATGCCTTTCGAAAGCTTTCGGATTTCTTTAATATCTTTCTGGAACTACTAGTTTAACAGTAAAGAAACCACGTTTAAATAAAAACTTATATAAAGACGACTGCTTATAAGCTTTAGAAGGAGACGCAAATCATATCTGCATGGAGGAATTGTTATATAAATATAAATATTTGTGCAATATGATTTATAAAAAAGCTCGACAGCTTTCTAAAAAAAAAAAAACAATGAAAATGCCTTTAGTAGTTTCTTCTATATTATCACGGCATTTCAAAGTAAAAGTAAAAGTTTGTAAGCTTTCGAAAGCTTACAAACGAAGTCATCAAATGCGCCTAAGTATTATTTTAAAATAGTTTCTAGCGAAAATATTATATGTATGTATATAGTTGTAAAAGCTTCTGGAATATTCTGATGTGCTTTTCAATGGAAAGCTGCACTTTGTTTTTAAAAGTGAACACTGATAACTGTATCACTTTGTAATAATAACAAAAGCTTACTTAGAACTACAAAGAATAACCCAGAGAGCTTTTAAAATGAGACATAATTATGACAAAGATGTTAAATTCTATTTGTATAATTTTGGTAAATGTCTGTTAGTATAAACAAGTAGGTGATTTAAATTACGCAGAAACCATAAAAGGTCTCCCATGAAAGCTTATGAATACTTAAATTAAACAAAAATTTTATTATAGCGTAAAATTATATACTATTATAGTAATAAAAGCCCATATGTAACTTTATGTTTAACCCGAAAAGCTTTTAAGAAAGCCTAAAGCTTTTTCTTATTTCTAATTTTTTTTTAATACTTTTTTTTAGTAGGTTCTTGTTAAAAGGAATATTTTGTTGAAGCTTTACAATATTTTCAACACATGCTAAGCAGCTTTTTGTTGATTTTATTTTAGTTTAACTTTTTTTCTCAGTGTACATTCCCTAATTTGATGTCTGTTATTTTATAAAATGTTAAAAAAATTTATATTTTTTTGTATTTTTGTTTTTATGAGAATATGTATGTAGTAGTATATCTTAAAGAGCTTAGTAATAAAATTTGTGTACTTACAGTTATTTTGCATGTCTAATTTGGTTTGGTAGTTTGTATTTATTGTTCGTACGGTCTAAGTTCGAGAATATACACAAAACAAATCAAAACAACAAACATGAAATTAGATTCTTCAAGTCACATTGATAGGAATTGTGTGTTTTTTGTATTTTTTTTCTTTAAGTAAATCTAATTTAACTAAATTAGCTTAAGAGGGGATGGTGGGGTAGAGTAGCGGGCAATATTATTTATTAGTAGAGTGCATTTTGAATTCTTTAAAGAGTTAAAATTTTTTACAAATTTATTTTTTTGTTTTGAAAGTGGGTGTAGCTTACAGTTAGTTAAGAGAGGCGCGTGTTGTGAGAAAACTGTTAGATCTTTAAAGTGTGATAAACTAAATTATTACAAAAGCTCCATTTAACTACTTTTTGGAAGGTGGCAACTATGAGCGATTACGTATAAATAAATTTGAAGTGACTCCACACAATTACAAAAATGGATGAAGAATGAGTACTTCGTTTGAAAAATGACTGCACAACACAGGGACGCATTAATGTTATGTAAGACAATGTAGCACAACGTAACAAAACGTAATACAACGCAACGAAACGTAACGCAACGTAATGCAACGTAAAATTATTACGTACCGTTTACGTTAACTTTAAAAATGTATGCTTTCTCGCTAACGGTATTACTATTTACATTTTGTTTTTGAATGCTTTTTGATTGAATATTGTGTTTTTATTGTGATGTTTATTTTATTTATTTATTTCTTTTTTTTTTTTTGAGAAAAAGTTTTGCACTTTTGAAAATGCCAACGGATCATGAAACGAAAGTGTACATTTTAGGGATAATTGCCCACAAAAGCAAATAAACAAATAGGTTGCGTGTTTAGGAGCATTTTTTTTACATATTATGTTATGCATTTTTGCGAATTTAAAGGCTTTTAAATTTTATATAAAATTTTTTATTTTATTCAATTACCTTTACAATTTTTTTTATTTTATTAGTTTTTATGTTATCTTTATCTGAATTACGCGTTTATTATTATTAATTTAATTTGTTTTTATTAATTTTTTAAATTTTGTAGTTTATCATATTTCTAATAATTTATTTATTAAATTTTTAAAATATTTTATTTGATTTTTTATTATATAATAAGATATTTTTAATTTTATTTCTTTCTTTATTCAATTATTTTATAATTTGATTTTTTTATATTTTATTTTAATTGTATATACAATTATATATATATTATATATTATATATATTATTATATAATAATATGTTTTTAATTTTATTTCTTTTATTAAATTATTATATAATTTGATTTTTTTTTATATTTATTTTTAATTGTATATACATTTTTTTGAATTTTAAGCATTTTTGAAATATTTTTTTTAGGTTTTTATTTTTTGATTTGATTTTTTTTTTTTAATACTTTGTTTATGTTATAGTTTTTTGTTTTTTAAAGTTTTGAATAAATTTTAAACTTATTTTTATTTATTTAATATTAAATTTTTTTATATTCTTTATTTTTATATAATTTTTCTAGTAAATTACTATTTTTGTTTAATAAAGGTTTGGTTCAATATTTAAGATTTTTTAATTTTTTCACTTTTTTTGATTATTTTTTTTTAGTTTTTTATATGTTAATGTGAATTTTCATTAATATTTATTTTAGCTTTATTATTTTTTCTTGTTCCTTTATATTTTTTTTATTAAATTTGAGGTTTTATAGAATTATTTTTGTAATAATTTTTAATTAATTTTAAAGGTTTGATTTTTTTATATAATTTTGTTATTATTATTTCTTTTTATTTTGAATTCAATTATATTTGTTTTTTAATATATACTTTATTTTATTACTTTGTGTGGTTTTATCAATTTTTTTATTACATTTTAATTTTTTTTTTTTGGAATAATATTTGTTTGTCTTTTCTTTAAACTTTTTTGTATAATTATTATTTGTTTTATGTTATTTAACAATTATTTTCTAATTCAATTTTAAGTTTATTAATATATATTTAATACTTTATTTTATTTTAGTTTAATTTACTTTTATTTTTAATTTTTTTTTAACTTTTATTAATTTTTTTAGTTTATTTTTATTATATTTACTTAAATGTTGATGTGTTATTTAAAATGGTATATTTGCTTTTTATATTATATATTCTCCTTTTTTTATTTTACTTCATTTTTTTTTTTAATTTAATTATATTTTTTTTATTGAATCTTTGTATTTTTTATTTAATTAGTTTATACTTTTAATGCACTTATGTGTACGTATATTTTATTTGAATATTCTTGAATAGTTATATTTTTGGAATTTTTTTTTATTATTTCATTCTTAATTGTTTTAAAAAGTTATTATATATTTGTTATTTTATTGATGGATTTTACTATTTTCTTATTAAATTTTAGGTTTGTTGTTATTTATTTAATAATTTTTTTAGTTTAATATTTGGTTTTTTATTATTTTAATTTTTGTATTAAAATTTTTAGTGATTATTATTAAAGTATTTAATAAATTTTTAATTTAATATTTAAAATTTTGTATTTAATTTTTATTTTACTCTTTCATATTTTGTATTTTTTTTTATTTCAATTTTATTTTAATTTGAATATTATTGAATAATTATATTATATACATTTGTTTTAAATTTATATATTTATATATTTTTTTAATGAACTTTAAGTTATCTTAAAATATTTTTTTATTAATTCTTTTGCTTTTAATTTCAGTAATTTTTCTTATAATTATTCTTTTATATTTGTATGTTTTTTATATTTTGTATAAAATTTAGATTTATTATATTAATTAAATTTTTTTTTTATATCTTTAGTTTATTTATTTTTTCTCTTACTATTATTGTTTTATTATTATAACTATTTTTTCTTATTATTGTTTATAGTGTTTTTTTTAATACTTTAGTTTTAGTTTTAATATTATTATATAATTTCTTTTGTTTAAACCAATTGTTAATAGCTTATGTGGGCGCATTTTTCAAGGGTTTAGATATCGGCAGCCAAAAGCTAAGTTGTTCTACTGATGCATATACATATATAATATATATAATACAGTCTTTATTATAAATCATTTTCATAACTTTTTATTGTTGTTTTTCTCAAGTACTCGCTAAGTACTCGGCTCGAATGCGTAAGATTAAATTTTTCTTTTGTTTCTCCTTTTTATTAAATATTTCTTTATCCTTTTAGAATAATATAATTCAAAGATTGATAATGGAAAAAAGTCAAAGCCAACACAAGGGTAGCAGTAGAAGAGAAGAGCGCATAAGACGTTCATATACACATATATATTTAAAAAATAGTAATAAGAATCATAACGGAATTGAAAAAAACTCGAAATTTGCTTCCTAAATAGCATTTTTCTTATATAAAAAGCAACTAAAACTTGGCACTTACCCATGTCATCGATGAGAGGCGCCATGCGTAACGTTACGCCGACCAACATGAGGCACATGACCAGCAGCAGACACGCTGTCACAATGATTGTGCAACGCGCCCGCTGCGACAGGTCATCGGGATCGACGACCTTTGCGCCGACAAATGAGCGGTTGGCAGGAAGGTAAAGAAGAAAAGAGTAAGGAGAGAGGAAAAATAAGAAGAAACACAAAATTTTCCTTTTAGTTTTTTATATATTTTTTGATTTGTTATTTGCCTCTCTATACCTTGACAACGCGCGTTTCCAGATCCTGCACCAGGATTTTTGGTTTTTTATGTCGATGTCGCTTTTTGTGGCGATGATGGCTGAAAAGAGTGAGAAAGAGAGATACATAATTTAATATAATAGATTGCAAGCTGAATAAGCTTTTGAGTATAAATAGTTAAAAGACAATGGTTTCTTTTTAACATATGTTTTCTACATTTAACGAGTGAAATCTCCACACAAAACATATTTACAAATTCTCAAAAATAAAGAGCTAAGCTGAGATCATTAGTTCGTATTTTAAATAGTAGCATCTCCACACTAGTTATAGACCGCACCAGTTTTGAACATCGATATGTCTTCGTAAAGATTGAAAATCTATTTTTTTTTGTACCTTAATGGTTAGTCTTTTACTTCAACTTAATGCCAAAATCAGCCAACAGCCCTGAATGATATACATATATTACTTCAACGTTCATCATCGTAACCCTATTATATTACATTGCTTCATTTTCTACAGCACCTTCATTGACTTTGACGTTTAAGACCACCATTTTATTCCAAATTTTAGACTTCTCACGAACCTCCCACGAATGACATTAGTTATTTTAAACACTTGCTCGAAATGATCTCTTCTTATGGGCAATCGAAAAGTGCTTACATGGCGGTCGGACTCGACGATTTTTTTTTTATCGATATTTTCGACAATTGGAATTCCAAAGCGTGGTTCATCTATGAAATCTAAATTATCGGCATGGTGTTCATTACTAAGTGGAACAAACAATCATAAACCTGTGTGCGAAGTTTTTCCAGTATGAAATATTATCTATCTAACACTATATAGCTTAATCCGAGCGCACTTATACAACGCAAGAACCAGATTACTAAATCCAACCATTTTGTCAATAATGTTTTATTTTTACTAAACTCGCACCAGTAAAGAAATAGCAAAACATACAATACTTCATATGGCAACAGGGAAGGTTATCTCGTCCCAACAAATGAAGTTCTTAAGTTATGAGAAACCACTGCATATTCACCCAAGGAACAGCATTCCCAAAAGGGTAAATTTCACAGAGAAGATTAAAGTTACACTCAGCAATGCGGCTGAATTAAGTAACTTCATGCTTGACCTTCTACTAAGAGATAGCACTATTAAGTAGTAAACCGAAAGCTCTACTTCAACCTTTAAAACCTTTAGGATGTTTTCTGAGCATTTTTCTACCAAAAGTTTTTATATAAGTCGGTGTGTAGAGATAAATCTCCAATGCAATTATCGCAATAAAAGTATTGCTATAGTCAAGCGGCACTTAAAGTGATCTCAGCTTATAAGATTACATTACTTTTGGTGCAGGATTGTATGAAATGGCTCAACAGCCTATGTTGGCAGTTTGCAACCGAGTGCACCTCATCTGGGTGGTCAGAAAGAGGTAGCCGAGAATAACTAGCTGACGCGGTTATATGTTCAATTCAGAATGGTAAGACCAGGACCCTGCATTGCGGTTGGTCGCCATACCATAAAGGAGCTGCTCCGTTGAGAGGAAATAGTGATTATGGAGAGATATTGTCAACAACTAAAGGACATGCGCCAGGCAAAGTTGCTAATAGAAGGTTACAACCTCGCAAGGTTTATAAATATAACTAGCCTCCTCAGAGACAAATTCCGGCTACTTGTGGCATTTTACACTGGGCTCTGCAGCCGCTAACTCCTGAGCACTTGATTCTAGACTGCACAGCAGTCTATAATTTTTATAAAAAAAAAATATTCGAAAGCCCGGAACAATTACCGTTAATATGATATGAAATAATTGTTTAACGCATCCTACAGCATTTCAACAATACGCTCGTCACAACAAAAGCAGAGTTGCAAAACGAATTTTCACTAAATTACCCATTAATGTGAATTGTGAACAGTTCAATTCGCATTTGATAGTTGTGTGCTCATATATTTGTAAATAATCCAACCATACCAAGCGCACACGAGCGCGAAAAGTGCAGTTTTGTTCTAATACAGGGTGGTCATGATGCATATTTTTGTATTTTTATAGTATTTTTGAAAATTTTAAAAGCGAAGAGGGGTGACAACAATTTATTAGAGCGTTTCAAGTGAATACTAGTAAAAATTTTAGAGAGCTGTGGTTGGTAATTTATATTATTTTTTTACTATTTTAGTTTTTAATATTAATTTTATTTTTGATAAATAATGAAAAAAATTTCCGTTTTATACTAATAAAATTTTTATTTATAAAAAAATTTATTTTTAAAAACTTGCCTCTGAACCACCCTTATATTCGCGTAAAACCAACTTTGTCAATCATCTCGCAATTTCCATGAAATGAAATAGCGCCATTTCGCACAGCTCAGCATGCGCCTGCGGAACACAATAAACAAACAAAGCCGCATACAACAACAGCAACATCAACAACAACAGCAACTATTTTCACAGAATTTTCCATGCTACCGAAGACCCGAGCAGGTCGAGCTGAGTGCAAATGGCTTTGATGAAGTAGCTGAACAGTCAAGAGCCTACCGCCAACTACACTTCATCAGCAACTATATGCCCTTGCCATTCTTCATCGAGAAGTTTCACCACGCCCACGCCAACGCCGCACGCGCGCCAGCTTACTGAACTCTTTGGCATACCTTGACCCAAATTTCAGACGAAGCATAATTAAAGCACAAAACATGATGGCAGCCTCAACAGCAATCGGCAGCAGTACGACGAAAGCCGGAGGTAGGCAGGCGGATGGGTCGTCAGAAGGCTTGGAAGTGCGGCAGTCAGCTGTTGAATTATTTGCATAGTTCAGCAGACTGTGTTACATTTGATGCTCTTCTCACCTTGTTGTTATTGTCGAGCGTATTTTGTTGCTGCGAAATTTTTCAATCAAATAAGAACTGTAGTCAAATTCATATATATATATATATATCGGCACGTGTTATCTTTCTGAAGGCGCTTGGCACACGTTCCCACGTCTTGGTATGCTCGAAGTCTGTAGCAAAACCAAGCTCATCTCGATTTCATGAAAGCACAAGTAATAATTGCAGCACCGCTTCGCAAATTGACGTCCGAAAGTGGCAAGTAAGCATACAATGGCCGCGCGATGATTTGCAAATATCCAGCGCCCTGGCAATGCCAACGCCTTGCAATGCAGGTTTTCTTCTTTCGTTCTCTTTTTGCTTGCCAATCGTAATCGTAATTGCTGTGCCACACTTTTTTTTGCCGACACTCTTCTATTGTTCTCATTTTACCACAGTAGCTTTGCCGCAATCATCAATTTTCACTTGATATTCCCGGCATACGCAATCCTTCGTTCGTCTTCCTTTTCTGTCTCCCCCTGCAGTGTTTCTGGCTGCTACGAATTTTTGAATTAATTGGTAACGCGTTCTTAGTGCGCTTGTGTATGTGCGGTAGTCATTGCTGTTGGGCAGAGTTGGTGGCATAAATTTAGCCTCAACGAAATTATCCCGCCGACAGCAGGCGTGCATTGAACGGTCCTAATTACAAACGGTTCAGTTGGTTGCTTTGCTTGGATGGGCGGGTCGCTTGAACTACAGCCGTTGGACGAAAAAATAAGTGGATAGTAAACGGATTCCCAACGATATAAGCAGAAGGGTAAACTGACCGATGGAGCAATATGCTGCTTCCGCTGGCTAACGGTTTATCAGAGATATCCAATCCTATGACCACTTTAGTGAGGTCGCAGTACTACTCTTGTGTGATCGCATTAGAGCTCTTAAGTACTTGTAACTACACCTTATAGTGTTTTTCGTGCACCCTTCACTGCTTATAAAACATATATGTTTTATTGTAAACTCGAGTTTATTGGTCAATTTGAAATATGAAATAATTTGTGATGATAAAATGTCCTAAGTATGGATCAAAATGACGGCCACATATCGACAACACGTCTAGAGCCTGCCACAAATTTATTGAGTCGACTAATATCAATTCCAGCCAATCCGCCAGGTTATGAGAGTGGTTGCAAACTTTGCTAAAAGTAGTCGCAGTTTGGAAAAGTACCCTACAGTGGTCTGGCAGTCTGAAACAAGAGTTCATTGAGAGCTTCCGATAATAGTCTCCCCTTCAACCTTCCCCTCGAACGGACTCGATCCATCCGTGATAAACTCACTGCGCTTCTACTCCAGCGCTTCATCACACCCACATATCCCTCGGTAGTACGTGCGTGGAGAAAATGCCGCTAGAAGTGAGCACCGTGGCGCAGTGGTCAAAGTTATCAGAAATGCAGTCAGGGTGTGAGAGGATTTCGGAATGTCCCTCTCTCAAATCCCTAATGTGTCCAGTTTCCCGGAGTCTGATAGCACCTTCGCAAAAATTCCGCTTGCTTTCTATGTCCACGGGTGCTATAAGTATAATGGCATTAGGTGCTATCGTTGGTGTTGTACCTAGTGAATTACTGATGCGATGAAAGCGAGCTCTTCGCCGGTTCATTAACGCAATTTATAGCTCCATTATATATAGTTTATTACTTTCCTCTGATGGTGATAATAACTTTACTAATAAAGAAATGCTTTTCAATCCTCCAGATAAATCATGGAGGATGGATCGAATGACGACTGATCTTATATCCAAACTACTTCAAAATTTATGTAGGGTTTTCGATACAATTCAGCACTAAATTATTATAAGGACTTCGAGTTCTCCCAACGGCAAATTTTTAATGATATTTGAAATCCCCGAATAAAACTATTGAGCTCTTGAAGCAAATCTAGAGTTTTTAAAGAAAAATAATACCTTCTTCCCTATTTTCCTGTCCGTGTACTGTACTCAACTGCACAGTTTATTAATTAAACCATTGTCTTGGGCATTTGAGCTCAGCTGTCTATTAACTTCAGCGCATTGCTTTCCAGCTTCTTTAGCATACTCATCGTCGGCGCTGTTTACACATATTTAACCCTCAATTTATTCTACATATTTCAAATATACTTAAACGCTTTATATGGATGTGTCTTACTTACCGATGTTTTCGATGTCGGCGATGGCTGCTTGGAACTATTTCTTCAAGGTCGTCATTTTTATCGGACTCCGTTTGGATTTGCATATCGTAAGGGAAGTCATCATTGTACTGAAATTGGCTGCAGTTAACGGTAAAGTTAATTAAAATTTCTATGAGAATTGAGCATTATTATAAATTAGATATGAAGTGTAGACTTACAGTGGCTCATTAGGCGGCATACTAAGTATGCAGTGTTGCAATCCGCTTGGTGTTGGATATACCAAAACGGGATCTGAACATCTGTGGTAACGTTCTGGGTGAAATATTTACGATATTATAAATTAATAAGACTTATAAATATGATAATTACAAGACGCTTACTGTATTTTCGTTTGCGCTTTCGATACTCATCGTCACTGCCGCTCTGCCCTGACGGCCAGCTGGGCTTGTAGCGCTGTTTGTCCTTCTCGCGGTCGCGCGATGAAGACTTCGTTGTAGTGCAACAGCCAGTCGGCGCTACACTGGAACCAGTCGATGTAGACGTCATGCGGTTCAGCTTGGCCGTATCCGCAGGCACCGCTGTGCCGGCTACAATAACTCCATTGGCATTGCCATTGCGAACGCGCGAACCGTTAAGCGCAACAACAGTCGTGGTACCTTCCGAAACTCCGGCGGCCATGGTAGCCTGGTACACCATAGTAGCTGGCGAAAACGTGTTGGTAGTAGCAGTCGCAGTGCCGTTAGTCGTAGTGTGGTGCGAGGGCAATTGATTTTGTGCGTTAAATGGCGCTACTGGCGCGGCGAAGCCAGACGAAGTAAATTTATTTGTATTGAAACTATCTACTAATTGATCACTATGACTAATATTACACGGCACTGTCCCGCTCACTGCGCTGCCGCCATTAGCTGACGTTGCGGACACAAAAGGCGCGTTCACTATTTGAGGTGTTGGCAGCAAACGATTGCGGCCCATGCCGCCGACTACTAACAGACTTGTGCTTTTCGATTTGAAACGATCGCCCAGCATGAAAGCACCAACACCTCCACCAGAAGCACCGATATCGCCCGTTGTGGTAGGCGAACAGATGGGTGCGTGTAGCGACAACGAGTCGCTTTGATTCAACAATGTACTAACGGTCAAATTGGCGCTCTCCTCCGAGGTATTCTGACGCGAAATGTAACGTGAGTAGGCGGACATGTCGCCGAATTCACCCGCTCCGCCGTAAGTGCTGTCCGTATAAGACACTTGGTGGCGAAAGATGTGCTGTTTGGTTTGTGTAATCTTATTGCTGGTGGGTACTGTTGTGATTTCGCTACCGACGGTGGTGTAGGCGCCAGCTCTGGGCGGCGCGGTATAAGGAACGGCAGTGGTGGGCGTTATTATATGCTTCGTAGTTGTAGCGGCCTGCATGGCATTGTCAATGCTAACTGTCGTCTGTGCCAGCAGTGGCATCGGCTCTGGCGCTGGTGCCGGTATTGTGGCGATCAAATGTCGTGGCAGTACGGGGCTGCATTGTGCACTAATCGACTTAGCTTCTAGTATGCGCAAACGTTTGGCAAGTCGTGCACGTTCATAAATGAGTGAGGCAGTTTCGTCTGGTATGATTTCGGCGCCACCAAAACTTACCGTACAACGCGAACTGCCGAACGATAAACTTTCGATGCTATCGCGTAACGATGTCAAGCTATCGTCGGCCATCGTTGACGTATGCAAACGTGCACCAGTGCCGTTTTCGTAACCACTCGCCAATGACGTGGTGTCGTAGGTGCGCTCCAACAGTGAAACGGGTAAACCACCGGTGCCACCATTTCCATTACTATTGCCGTTACCGTTAATGACAGATACGGAACGTCTGTGTGTGGCAGCACGTGAGTCACCGGAGCCCGAGCTCGATGTCATCACTTCAGCTGGTGTATGCGTCTGTGCGCGCACTAACAAGCTACGCCTCACCATACTTTGGCCACCAGAAGCGCCAGCACCGCTTATATCATTCTTGTCCGAAGAATTGCTTAGCGTGCTGGCGACACTATCGTCAGCCGGCTGTCCTACCGAAGCACCGTGTGCAGTAGTCAATTGCGTTTTAACCTTCTGCGCCTTCGTTAGCGTAGCACGTGCAAACTGCGAGCGATGACTGCCGTTCGAAGCTGAGGCTGAGTTAGAGAAAACCTCTATTTCATCGCCATCACTTCTTCCGCCACTACCGCTTGATCTCTTTACAGTCTTTATGCTACGTAAGCCGGTAGGTGATGCCATCATTGCGCCGAACTCACCACGCATAAAAACATCGGGTTCGCTATCGCCGCGCAACTTACGCGAACCACCGAAAAGTTTACGACTAAAAAATATGCGTCCAATGGACTTACGTTTCATGCGCTTAGCACGCTTGCGCTCCTCACACTCTCGCTTGATGGCCATCACTTTCTTCTCGAGCAGTGTGGTGAATATAACCTCGTAGGTAAGCGCTCGTTGCAGGTCTTCGAGTGTATCATTCGTACTAACCGCTTTATCCACCTTCGTGAGCACACGTGGCGTTGAACTGTCGTCGTCGTTACATAGTTCTTTCGTCTGCTTTTCAAGTTTGTCCTGTTGGGTCATTATTTCAGTTGTTCCTTCTGCCACTTCCTCTATTGCTTCTTCGGACATGCGTTCATTTGGACTTTTACCTTCAGCTACTGCACTTCCCTGTAGCTTAGGTATTCCACCAAAATCGCTAGGCAGTTGCTCCACACCAGCTCTCTCCAACGTTTCAACATTCTCTGTGCCCTGAATGAGCGTCCTCCCGTTTCCTTTCTTCGGTTCAATCATACTTTCTTCCTCCATCTCACTTTCCCTTTGCCTTCTTTTGTTTTCTAAACGTTACTATCAAATGTCAACACTCTCCCTCTCTCGAATTAACATTCTCACTTCTCCGTTTGTGTCGAGTCTTTTTTGTTGTTTCGGCAGACTTTGTAAAAATGGTATTAATAGAACTGCAGCTTGTTTTTTTCTTTATTAAACTTGTTTTTTGTTGTTGTTGCTTTTCAATAGTTATCTTCAATATGCGATTTCTTGTGCTCTCACTACTCTTGTCTCTTCTGTCCGTCTGCCAACACATTTTTCAACTGTTTCATGACATCAGCTGCTTTTTTGTTGTTGTTCTTCTTCTTTGCGGTATTTTGTTTGTTGTAACATCTGCAAAACATTTATAACAAACGTTTATATTGCCGTCTCTTTGCCCTCCTCTGCTGCGCTCAATCGCTTTGGAATGTCATTCGTAGTCAAATTTGTTTTCACACTTTTTGTTGTTGTTATTTTTTGTTAGTGATTTATTAGACTGGGTGCATATGTTGCCACATTTGTGAGTTATTCATGTCATCTCACTTGAATCCCTTCGTTTTTTTTCCCCTTTTCTCCAGCTTTGGGGATTCTATTAGTTTGCGGCTGCTTGAGTGGCACTTGGACACAATCGCAATCACTCAATTCTATTCAAGATCGTTCGGTTGTCTGAGACAGTTGTAGTTTATCTGAAAAATGAACGAAATTCGGTGTTTGAAACTAATGGTTTTAGAAGTGTTGCTATTAATAAATGGTTGAAATGAAATTACTTTAGAGTGGGCGATATTACTTTTGTGTTTTGAAGTGATTTCGAAGCTTAGTTATTAAGATCTCTTTTGTTCATATTCGAAAACGAAAGCGAAAAACTACAAAAAAGTAAAACAAGTAAGGATTGATTATTGTGCGAGATAACCACTGTAATGTAAAAAAAATTGTAGCGAAAGTGGTATTGGCTTTTACCCATTCAAGCTTAAACCCATAATTCTAATTCAATAATTTTGTTTCCATAATGAACTACGACGGTCGAAAACATTCTTATACGTATTTGGTTTGATGAATATGTATGTATAACAATAATTTCAACCATAATTCTTCTTTCCACGCATCACTTGTGTGGTGTTTCGATATCATAATGTTATTACTTATAAATTTTAAAAAGTAGCAACACTTCTCAGAAACATATTCAACTGCCAACCTTTTTAAATCTATTTTGGCAATGCTTTTAATTAATATTGGGAACTGTCACCCATCTAAAGCCTGTTTAATTCAATGCCCAGATTGCAAATTTTAATTTATTTCTGATGGCAACCCTTACAGGTAATATTTTAAATTTAAAAGTTTTTCTTAAACAAATTTATTTCAATACAAATACTAAATTCGTTCGTTCTGTAATTTTAATAGATTAAAAATTTTAAATAAGTGGCAACACTTTAAAAAAAATATTTTTAATTTAAGCTTTTAAGCTCGTTTAATTTGATCGCAATATTGCAATACATCTGGTATTTTATGAGGTGGCATCCCATTTCAAAAGTGTTACTCTCTAAAAGTTCTGTTCAGCACTCACTGAAAAAATATTTGACGGAAATTTAGAAAAAAGTAGCAGCTCTCTTAAGAGGGTCATTCCATGTGACGGCTTGTTTTTTAGCGATTTTTTTTAAAATATTTTTACTACGACCAATACATACAGCTTTAACTTTATTATCATACCATGCATATGTATATTTCGACATTATAAATATAAACTTTAAGCTAAAAATATTGTTTAGAACACGGTTTACAGCGTTTTGAACGCCTCCGCCTGGAAAAAATGGACGCGCACATCCTCCACGGTTCCGGCCAATATTGGTCATTTTTTATTAATATTAGTTCATTCCACGCATTTACACGTGCTTAGTGTACCTCAACCTGTATTTCAAGTCATTCGGTCAATCCATTTTTGAGATACGATGGAGGAAAGTTTGAAAAACATAGTTTTGAGAAAATGCGTTTAAAATTTCAAGTCCGCAACTCAGCGCTCCGAAAAGCTCCTTCTTCCAACTGCTGTATCTTAAAATCGACTTCACATTTTAAAAAATCCCTTTACTACCGTATTCTAGACATGTTAAGAAAGCATCTTATGAAAAAAAATCGTTTTTTTGAGCCCATCACAGGGGATGACCCCCTAAATACTGCTTTTGAGTTATAAGCATTAAATATATTGAGGTTGATTACTATCAATTTATTATTTTACTAATTGGGATAATTTTTTTTTCTTGAAACAGGTGGCAACTCTGTTAAACTTTTTTTGATTAACTTTAAAGGCTTTTTTTTTAAGTTATGAATTGCCATCGCATTTAAAAAATATTTCTCTCTGTTCACAATTCAATGAAAAGAAAAATCGTTAGAAATTTAGAAAGAAGTGGCATCTCTCTTAAGGCTTTTTTTTAACTATAAGCATTAAGCATATTCAGGTTGATATTGGATAAATAATTTTTCTTAATTTTTTTTAAACAGGTGGCAACTCTGTTTTTTTTTTTCTTTTAAGCTATATTTAATTTATTTAAAATACAGATCTAAGTAATAAGTACAAGGAATATGTTTTTTTTATCGTATAAAATGCAAACAGGTGGCAACCTTAGACAAATTTACTTTAAACCATTAAAATTGCATTGAGCAATCTAAAAACATTATTCAAAACTGTCAGCTTTCACGGCTGTGTTTTTCACACAGTTAGCGTGACGAAATTTTGTTGCGTAACACATTTCGTTGCGGGTGATCTATTTCACTACTACTAAATATTGAAATGTTTTAAGCTTATGCGTCCACGAAGCGAAGCGTTCTTAGATAGGTCTAAAGTTTTTAAAGACTAAGAAATAGTATCAAATAAAAAAATAAAGAATTTTGCTTTTTCAATAAGTATACATGTCTAAAATTTTTAAAATAATTAGGATTAATATTTAAAAGCTCCGGAGAAATTTAGAAAAACTTCTTACAAATGCAATCTTGTATTCAATCCTGTTTTTTGAATATTGTGGAACATTAGTCTATAAATAACTAACTCTTAAATTAATCAAGTTATATTATTTGAAATTCTCATAGCCAATTGTCTAGAATATTCCCTTCATCCTTCGGCTCTCAATTGACGAGAAGTATTAGGCATACAAATCTCAAAACGATTACAAATAAGCGCCCATTAATCAAATTAAGTGTCAATGCAATCTGAACTCCATAAGCTACTTGCAATTATCGGCTCATTTGCGGAAACACAATAGTATCTGTGTAAATATGTGTGTATGCAAGGAGACCAGGTGCATGTGCAACAATGACAGTGTAACATCTTCACAAATTCCCACAGACATCACCAGTTGACTAGAATATGCCCCAAAGGCGTGCAAGTCAAGTTAGCGACACGTGCTTCAACTATGCATGTGAACAGCTGTGGCTCACACACATACATATAAACTCCCAACTACACATACACACTAGCATGTGCACTGGCGTCAGTTATCTGCTCTTCAAATGATTGTGGGAAATCCCCAACTGCTCTTCAAATGTGCGCGACTTGGTGTTGTTGCAGACAGCCGCAGGCCGTAAGACTACAGTTATTAGCGTTGCCACAAGTTGATGCAACAGCAACAATAACAACAACAATCACAATAAAATCAACAATATACAATGCGTTTGGTTAAATGCGACCGCCAACAGCTGTGACACAACGGTGTCAGCGTGCCTACCGTTACACTAACGGTAAAGTGGGTATGTGCAGGCAATCCGTCAATCAGCCGGGTGGGCGAGAAAAAGCGCACTGATGCGTTTAATAATAATACATATATTGTGCCAACTGGGAGGTAGTCGAGTGATAAATTAGTTTCCAATTCTTGTTGCCAATCGAAAGTAATCCACATATCGGGAGTGTGTGGTCGAAGACATATACATACGTATATATACCCAGACATGCATTTGTGTATGGAGATATTTATGTATATATACTATATTTTGAATGCTTTTTATAAATAAATAATAGTTTAAAAAAACTAAAAAACACGCTTTTATAGCTTATCGAACTAAAAAGTAGGGAAAAAATTTTTAATTAAAAAGAGTTTATATTATAGTAGTAGCAGATCAAACAATCAATCATGATCAATTACTTTAAAATAAAATTATAATAATATTAAAGTTATTAAGAGAATTATTCAATTCAGTATAAAACACATGGTGGTGTACCTTTTACTATATTTTCATAACTTTTTTACTAGATTTTTATAACACTCCTTTCATAAATAGTTGCAGATAGGAAGATTGTCACATCAAGCAGCCCACGCTTTTTACTCTGAATTGAATTATTGTTTGATCTGCTACTACTATAATGTAAACTCTTTGTAATTAAAAATTATTTCCTACTTTTTTACTACTTTAGTTCGTTAAGCTATAAAAGCGTGTTTTTTAGTTTTTTAAACTCTTATTTATTATTAATTTTTTAGTTTGATTTATCAATTAATTTTTCGCGGACATGCTGTAGTATTGAAATATGTTACATATTAATTCGTAATCTAGTCATTTCATCTAAAGCTACACTGAATGCATGGGATTTTTCCTGTTGCTTAGAGCAATCAAGTTCTTCAATCCGAATACCGTCTAAAGATCTTACACGACTAAGTGCTTAAGCTTGTCCAGCAGCAAACAGTCGCGAGCCTAGATAAGCAACTGCATTATCAACTGTACAACCTTGCATCTTTATGATTACAAATTAATTGATCGTATTATATTTCTTTCTTTACTGACAGTAATTTCAAAGATTTATTGTTTTGTTGCGTAAAATAAATGGATTGAAATTTATGTTCTGATTATTTTATATTTTTGCTCGATATACGAAAAATATGGCACAAACCATTCCACGCTTTTCTCACAATAATACAAATATTTCGGTAAATATTTCTGTCATTTTGTGTAAGAAAAAGCGTGTTTTTTAGTATTTTAAACCATATTTAGAATTTAGCTATAAGTGGTTTTTTCACTTTGTTTAAGAATGCATTTGAGTAAATTTGTTATTCAAATGGCAGCATGGATCGTTGGTGCTTTGGTTGACATTAGTTAGATAGTTTCTGGGATATAGGATTTCACCTAAAATTTGGTGGTGCCACGCCCATTTTACAATTTTTACATCTCCTCCTATAAACCTCTTCCCTACCATCTTGCTTTGGAGCGGTAATTTGATTCCGGTTACCACCAACATCAAAACTTTTTTCTAATAGGCGTCGCTGTCGTGTTGGTAATAGCAAATGTCCGAGTCTTTTTCTACCATGAAAAGCGTTCTTATAAAATATTTCAGTTTCTAGAACATTATCTGCTAAAATAAACCTATTATATGGTGTCTAAAGCACACTTTCTGACCTAACATCCAGTTCTCTGTACGCAGCAGCAGCAATAGAATCGACGAAAATTTCTACACATGCATCTTACCACGCCGAATTGACTAAGGGATCCACCATATCCGTTTTATATTATAAATGCTCTATTTAACATTGTCCAATCGCTCGACACTAAAGTATTTATACTAAACTACTTCGGGGTCTAGATTTGAATCATTAAAAGTGTAGTCTATATTTGGGAGTTCCTGACTTTTGAAAAAAGCGTATATGTAAAAGTCGTATTCTTATTTGTAATTCTCCAAAGAGATTATCGCATATCGTTTTACATATTTCAAGTCGCC